TAAGACAAGTAACTTGGAAGCAAGAAGAGAAACTCACAGGGGTAATATGCTGGGGGTTTTAGAAAATATTTTATTATTTGTATGTGTAGTAAGTATACTATCTGTTTGCAATGCCCATGGAGGCCAGAAGAGGGCATCAGATCTCTGGGGCTGGAGTTATAGGAAGTTGTGAGCCACCTGATATGAGTGCTGGGAACTGAGCTCAGGTCTATCTGGAAGGGCAGCAAGAACTTCTAACCACTTAAGCCATTTCTCCAGTCCCCTAATCTGACATATTTAATCTTAGGCATCTTAGTGGCAGTCTGCATTTGAGTTTTGTTTGATTTTATTAATTTATATGCACAGATATGTTTTTAAAAGGTTTTATTTTGTGCATGAGTGCCAGCAGAGATCAGAAGAGGAGTTGGATCTCTTAGAACTGGATTTACAGGTGGTCACGAGCCACCGTGTGGGTGCTGGAAACCAAACCTGGATATTCTAAAGAAGCAGGAAATTACTCTTAACCAATGAGCCACCTCTGTAGCCCCATGTGAAGGAATTTTAAATTCTTATTTAATTGCTTTAAACCAGTTGAACATTGTCAACCTGGTTAACTTTGGACTTGGTTATCAATTCGGTTGGCTAAGTGCCTTTTGGTTTGGACAGCTCACACGAGGTCCCCACCCCAGGGATGTTCTGGTGCCTCCCTCTAGGTCAGTCACGAATGTGCTGGTGGTGAGATTGTACCATTGGACTTCCCATCAAACGGTGCCATTGTTGTCATGCCTGTCCGTGCGATTGGGGATGACATGACTTCTGCTGCATGCAACCCTTTTCTAGAACTAGGGACTCTAGCTGGTGACATGCAGTGACAATGCCAGATGTGTGCTATTTCTGTCTAGTTGGGGTACCTTCAGAAATACATGACTTGTGGGTCCATTTGGTCTTGTGGGGTCAAAGGACTGCAAGACCAGCTCTAGTCCATAAAGCTCTCTTGACTTGAGCCTTCCTCTTGGGTGTCACAGTCTCCTGCTTTCTTCCCCTTCCTTTCTGATCTCCTCTGCGCTTCTACATTCACCTAATCAGATCTACCTAGTACTTGCTTTGTGCCCGCTCCTGCCCAGGGAAGAAATACATGGCATTGATGGAGACGCATGCCGATGGTTCCCATGCAGTGCGTTCTATGTTCTGACGGTGGAAAGGTGTCCTTTGGGGGACATAGTGGGTTATGAAAGGGGATAGAGGAGAGGGAGAGGCAGGGCCATGGTTGAATTGATAGGGCCTCAGGTACTCTTGTGAGCTGAGTGGCTTTCCTCAGAAGATGTTGGTATCCTAACCCCTCCCTGGTTCCCACGACTTGGTCTGATTTATAATTAAGCCCCACCAGCTGTAATTGAGCGTGGACTAAATGGAGACCACTCACCTGAGAACGAGTGAAATCTCTTTGTTCAGAGCTTGCTAGAGCGAGGAGTCCACTGTCATCATTTATGTTTGGCAGAGATTTGTGGCTGGGCATGGGAGCCAGGAAAGCTCCAGTATAGGCAGAAGGGAAGGCTTGCCTAGTGTGGGGACCGTCAGGATGATCAGGATGTTGGCAGGCGGCCTAGAAGCAGGGCTCCCTACATGCTTGGATAGAGAGAAGATTTGGCTTTCTTCAGTATATTTATGACCCTATGGGGCTGTTAAGGCAGCTGTCAGTACTTCTCAAGTCCTGGTCATTTAGGGCTATCCGTGACAGGGTTATGCCTGGCCTGGTCACTGCAGGCAATGCTTGGCATCTTGGGCTAGGCACAGGTTCTGGTCAGAGATCTGTTTCTGTGTATGGCCTGGCATTTCTTGTCTATCCAAACCCCCGGGAGTTAAATGGAGGCTCTTAGGGTGAGTTCTAATCCAACAGGACTGGTGTCCTTGAAAAAAAACAACAGAGATGAGGGTGAGGGGAAGGGCCACATGCTGATGCAGGCAGAGAGGAGAGCAGTGCAGTGTGGACCAAAGGTATCAAGGGTAGTGAAGTGGGGAAGTCCTCCCTGAAGCCTCCTGGGGAGTCCTCCCCAAAACCTCCAGGGATTCTTCCCTGAAGGCTCCTGGGAATCCTCCCTGATGCCTCCTGGGGAGTCCTCCCTGAAGCCTCCTGGGGAGTCCTCCCTGAAGCCTCCTGGGGAGTGAGGCCCTTCCCATGCCTTCACTATGACTTGACTCTTGGCCTGAAGAACTGTGGGACTGTGGGCCAATGCATAGCAGCAGGAGCAGGGCAAGAAACCCCTTTGTAGGATTAACTGGCATCCAGAAGAGTGGGGCTGATTTTCACACATCCTGGCCATGGGCCACTGGCTTCATACTAACCCAGGGACTTCTCAGAATGTGCTTCCCCGGTCTTTTACATGGACCTGTGGAGGAGGAGTCTCCGAAGAAGGGGGTCGGAGGACTTGGTCTGAAGTCCCAGGTTCACTGAAGTTCCGGAACATTTTCTTGTAGGCGTGTTTCATTTGTATTTTAGTAAATAAAGACTGCCTGAAGATCAGAGAAAAAAAAACAGCTCCACTGGTCAGCCTTACAGACGAGGCAGTGGTAACACACACCTTTAATCCCAGTAGCCACACTAGTTGCCATGGAAACCAGGTGGTGCATGCCTTTCATCCCAGTCCTAGAGAGGATTATAAAATGGGAGGAGACAGCTCTCAGTCACAGTCTCATTCTGAGATTCCTGGAGGCAGGATCGCCTTTTCGGACTGAGGTAGAGGTGAGAGCCAGAGGTTGCTTGCTTTGCTTTTCAGATCTTCAGGTTGAACCCCAATGTCTCTCTTTTTAATTAAGCATGCTTCATTTTCTGTTTTTAATGTCAAGATTTTTAGTTACTATTACTTTTTATTTGATTTTTTTTAAAAACAATTTTACATTGTGGGTGTTTTTGCCTGAGTGCCTGTCTGTGCAGCATGAGCCTTGCCTGCTGTCTGCGGCCAGAAGAGGGTGCTGGATCCGCTCCAACTGGAGTGAAAGATGGTTGTGAGCTGCTTGCTGCGTGGTGCTGGGAATCAAACCCGGATTCTCTGGAAGAACAACCGGTGCTCTTAACTGGACCTGCGTGGTGGAAAGAGAGAACTGATTCTTGAAAGTTGTCCTCTGACCTTCAACCATGTGCTGTGGCTTGGGAGTGGGCTGCAGACACACACGAGCTCGCGTGTGTGCACGCGCACATGCACACACACACATAATAAGCAAACAAATAAAATAATTAAAACCAAGACGAAACCCACTGAGGGTGAGCATCACCCCTATACCTGGGTAAAAGTTCATATGATCTTCCAGTTTTTTTCTAGGCTAAACTGTAGCTTCCTTTAGACAACGTTTTCTTGACCATGTGCAGTTAACTCTTGGCTTCTCCAGCCTGTTCACTCTCCCCATCCCTTCACTCTTCTGGGGTGGCAGCCCCATATCAGCTCAGCAGCTGATAGGAGCCCCCTTTTGTTCCTTCCACCAGGAGTCATTGGCATGCCAAAACCCGACTGACTCTCTTCTGCCCCTCTTGCCTAAGCACCAAGGCCGCCGGTCCTTCTACAGTCACACCTTGGCACACAGCAAAGGAAGAGAGTCTGGGACCCAGGTTCCTGCTGTTGTTTTGAAAATCAAACAGCTCCTTCTAGAGCAGCCTCCTTCTCTTCCCTTCCTCCCTCTGCAGAGCCTCCCTCCCCTGAGGCCCATAGGTCATCCTGTCCCCACCACCCCCACCTCCCACGCTGTCAGTGTCACCCCACCCTAGTGCCCGAGGACAGTTATTTTATTTGGAAATCAAGTGGGCTGCAGCACCAGGAAGAAATTCTTTTCCATGCAAAGACAGTGTGTGTGCCCTGAAGAGCCTGGGGGCTGGGAGAGCAGGGCAGCTTCTCTCCTCACACTGCCTCCTTCAATCCTCCAAGTTACCCTAGTTGTGTGTGACCAAGGCTGCAGCTGGGAAAAAAAAAAAAGATCCTCCCTGGAAGCATCGAGAAGCGTGGCCGTTGTCGTTAAATTAAGAAAAGATGGGAGAGCGAGAAGCAGGCCAGGGTGGCTTACCTGCTGGCAGTGTAAGGCTTTCTCCACATTGTAGGCGAATTTTAAAGTCTTGCCGCAGGTGGCAGGAGCTCTGTGCAGAGTCTCAGCTTTGGGTGCACAGAGACTGAGAGGCAGCGGGGGTTGAGCATTTGCTACGAGCCTTCTGGGCACCTACCCTAAATGATCATATTTGGGGAAGGGGGCAGAGTCCCATGGAATCTTCTGACAATACATGGGGGCTCTCTGTCTGGGAGAATCAACTCCCTGCCTTAGATGGCAGTGGCTTCCTTAAGATAATTGATGCATAATTGGAATCCACCAGCCTAGCTTTCCTTCCCTGCTTTATTGAGGTAGCGTTAACCTGTGGACACTGGTATGTTTCAGGTGGATGCCAGTTAGGTTGGGATAGTACATGTAGTGACACGGTCAGCACGTTCAAGGTCAAGTTAATTTGCCCACAGTTATATCTTGAATATACAGGAAGAACACCCTGGTGACAGTTGTTTAGAAACCCAGGCTCCTCCCCACACCAGTCCTCGCTGTTCTTGGACACTGAGGTCATCACAGGCATTTAGAAGTGACGTCACTATCCTCATGCCCACAGAAGACCCCCACAGGACCTGAAGACAGGTTCGGGCTTCCAGGAAACAGAAGTGGAACAGGATGAGGCTCTTCAGAGATCCTAGAGTCCGGGACACTTCTGGAAGAAAGAGAGGAACTGGTCTAGGGGGAGACAGCAGCCAGATGGTCCAGGCGGCACGTCAACTTCATCTTCCTGACCAGCTGTCACTGGGGAAATGTGCCCTAGGCTGGAAGGGAGCCAGAGAAAGGATGGATGAGAAATCGGGTAATCTAGCTATCTTCAGGGCGTATTCTCCAGCTCCAGATGACAGTGGTCTTCGCGGATGTAGACAGGAAGTGAGGCCGTCTAAAACCCGGTCTTGAGCTGTCTGTCTTTAATCGGTGTTTCTTCCTGACGCTCCTGTCCACCGTCAAGCCACCTGCAGCAGGTCCACCTGCGTGGGCTGCTGTTTGCACATGCTGGCACTGGGTTGATCGCCAGCTAGTGGGTGACTGCACAACGTCGGGGCCTGGCCACATGACAGCAGCATTGCCAGGCAACAGCTGGCTCGCTTCTCACGGATCAGCGGCTGAGCTCCTGGTGAAGACCTCTCCCTGTCCACCCCTCTGCAGAAGCATTTCCTGTAGGACCAGGGACAGGGCAATAGAACACACTGGTCAAAAGCCTAAGGTTAAAAAACACTTGTGTCGTAGGATGGTTCTGGCTGCAGATAGTGTGTTGTGAGAGAGATACGTGGCTCACAGAATTGATAGTTTGGGTATACCATATAGACAATTTCATAATACTTTTTTGTTTTGTTTTTCAAGACAGGGTTTCTCTGTGTAACAGTCCTAGCTGTTCTGGAACTAGCTCTTGTAGACCAGGCTGGCCTTGGATTCACAGAGATCCTCCTACCTCTGCCTCCGGAGTGCTGGGATTAAAGGCGTGTGCCACCACTGCCCGGCTACAGTTTCATAACACGTTACAAACTGTTTTGAATGCATGCATGTGCATGTGTATATGTGCGTGTCCTTGTGTGCACATGGAGGCCAGAGGGAAACCTCTGCTGTCATCCTTGGGAATGCCTCTGGGAAAGGATCTCTCAGAGCATGGAACTCACCAAATAGGCTAGCTGGTCAGCAAGCTCCGGGGGTACTCCTTTCTCTGCTGTGCTAGTTCTGGGATGGCAAATACGTGTTCCTGCAAGCAGGTGTCAGCATACCCAGAAGTTCCCCATGGGTTCTGAGGGTCGAACTAGGGTCCTCATGCTTGCGAGGTAAGTGCTTTACCAACTGCCCAAATTAGCTTCAGTTGTCAATGTGACGTAACTAGAGCAGCGGTCCTCAACCTTCCTAATGCTGCGACCCTTTAGTACAGTTCTTCATGGTGTGGTGACCCCGACAACCCCAGCTATAACATTATCTTCATTGCTACTTCATAACTGCAATTTTGCTACCGCTATGAACTTTAATGTAAATATCTGGTTTTCCAGTGGTCTTAGGTGTTGACCCCTGTGAAAGGGTCCTTCCGTCCCTCGAGGGGGTCTCGACCCACAGATTGAGAACCACTGGTCTAGCATCATCTGAGGACCTCTCAGCCTGAGGGGTTGCCTAGATTAGCCAGTGACCATGTCTGTGCGGGGATTGTGTAAACTGATGATGTAGGAGGGCACAGTACACTGTGGGTGGCACCGTCTCTAGGCAAGTAGACCTGAACTGTCTGAGAAAGTTAGCTAACTGGGCAGTGGTGGCGCACTCCTTTAATCCTAGCACTCAGGAGGCAGAGGCAATGGAGGATCTTTGTGAGTTCAAGGCCAGATTGCTCTATATACCAAGTTCCAGGCCATCCACAGCTACATGGAGAGAACTTGACTCAGAGGAAAGGAAAGAGGGTTGGCTAAGCCCTAGGATGGAGCCTATGATGGAGCCAGTGAGCAGCATCCCTCCCTGGTCTTGGTTTCAGTTCCTCCCCAGGGATGACCTGGAAGCTGAAGAAAACCCTTGCCTCTCCCCAGTTGCTTTGGTCATGGTTTTGCCACAGCAACAGAAAGCAAAAGCAAAGGAGCCTCTCCCTTAACTCCTTTATAAATGTCCCCAAAAGTAGCCAGGAAAGAGACAAATGGGGAGAGAAATGAGGGGGCAGGTGGGCACACGGTGCCATGGCGTGCTTGTGGGAGTCACCTGGGTCCTGGGGCTCAAGCTCAGGTCCGCAGGCTTGGTGGCGAGCATCTTTACCCGCCGAGTACTTCTATTGGCCCTGTACTTCTATTTTTTGGAAAACCCCCTATACCGCTTTCCACAGTGACTTGTCCCAGTTTTACGCTCCCACCCACAGCCAGTGTGTATTTATAGCCTCTACTTTGTATACGGAATTTGTTTATGTGAATTAGTGGGCTTTCAGGTTGTATCTAACACTGGGCTCATGAATCTCAGCTTTTGGGAGGCCAAGGCAGGAGGGCTCAGAGTTCCAGGTTAGCCTAAACTTTCCAGCAAGACCCTGACTCTGAATGAATAAATAACGAATAGAAACAAAAGAAAACGACAAGGTTGACTTTTTCCCTATTCTACAACAACCGTAAAGAATTGATCGGATCTACTTTGCTTTTTGAGACAGGGTCTCTCACTGGTCCGGTACTCATCCAGTCGGCTAGACTGACTGGCCAGCAAGCCCTGGGTCTGTCTGCCAGTCTCTTCCTCCCCAGCCCTGGGATTGTGAATGTGTGCCGTCCGTCATACCTGGTGGGGATCAGATTCAGGTGCTCATGCTTGCGTGGCAAGTATTTTACCAGCGGAGGCATCACCCAGTCTTAATCAATGGCACCATCATGCAATAACATAGACGGTAGGAATAGGAAATGCATCCTCGACTGAGAATTTTCCAGAAGTCCCAGGCTTTTGGAAACAATCGAAGACCTTTGCATGATTAATAAGATGAGATATCTGCATGAGTGGTTTAAACCTAAAATTTTATGGAGGCTACTGCAAACAATTCTGCAGGGACCTTGTTTCTTTTAGCTCATAAATGGGGAATATGTTGAAATTTCCAAAGGCCAAGCGGGTTGGGATGAAAACATTGCTTCTAATGAGTCTCACACTTAGTCATTTCCCCAAGTGGAGTACATTTCGGTAGCGGTGGGAGTTGGTGATGAAGCTTTTCGATTCCCCACATCGCTGCAGTTCCAGCCTGTTTAGCACAGTGGCCACATATTGCTAATAACCTGTGGGTCAGCCTTGAACCTCGGAAGTCTCAGCGCTCGGGGCATAACCAAGAGAAAGAGAATGCTGCCAGCCATCCCCTTTTCCCATGGAAGTGGCCAACCACATGCAGATGTAATTAAACCAAGGTTTCTTTTTTTTTTTTTTCCTGAGTTTTCCAACCATGTATTTTATTAGAGTTTTCCATGGGGTTAGTAGGAGGAGAGAGTTTGGGGGTCAGAATGAGGAAGGAGAGACTTGTTCATTTATGCCACAGCAAGCCTGCAACAGATGCTCTGACCATGCATTTCTTGCAATGAGTTTCCACTCCAAGCAACAGAAAGTCCTAAATAACTGGGCCTTGCCTTATAGAGAAAAAAAAAATCTACAAGGAATCTAGGCCCAGTAGAGTGTCCCATAACATCAGTGACACTGATGCCTTTTTGCTCTGTGGAAGGTTGCTTTCATCTTCGGGTTCCTTTGTAGTCCAAAAGGGCTGCTGCCCTGACAAATATTGCTTCTTTCCGACAGCAGGAAGGATGGAGCGGAGGAAAGCTTGCTTCAGCCTTTTACTACGGGATGCTTCGGGGTTAAAATGCTGTCACATGGGCTCACACAGCTGCAAGGGCTACTGGGAAATGTAGACCGTATCCTAGCTGCCCCAGTGTCCCTCCAAGAGCTAGCATTTCCGCCGGGCGGTGGTAGCTCACCCCTTTAATCCAGGCACTCAAGAGGCAGAGGCAGCCTGACCTCTGTGGGTTTGAGGCCAACACTACGGAGTGAGCTCCAGGACAGCCAGGGCTACACAGAGAAACCCTGTCTCAAACCCTCCCCAACAACAAAAGGAAGGAAGACGGGAAGAAAGGAGGAGCTAGAGTTTCTTTTAGGGAAGAGAGGGGAGACTAGGTTACCACAGATATCTGTTTTCACTCCATGTAGCTGCAAAAAAACTAGAAGAGGTAGATTTAATCCCAGCACTCAGGCGGATCTCTGTGAGTTGAAGACCAGCTTTAACTACATGGTAAGTACCAGGCCAGCCAGGGTTATACAGTGAGACCCTGACTTAAGAACAAACAAACAAATAAGAAAGTAAATAAACAAATAAATATTTAGATAGGTTTATTTTCCAGGGGATAGAACCAACTGTGTGTGCCAACTCTGCCCACTGTATATGAGAGAAGAGCCTTTGGGGTGGCCAGAAGGGAGACCAGTGAAATTCAGTAAGGAGCCGGAGCCATCAGCCCTCTGGCCCTGTCTTTGGCTTTTCCTGGCTGGTTGGCATTAGAAGACTCATGAAACGTCTTTGTGTTTGAGAGTTGCCACCTGAAGCAAGCTATGGATGACACCCAGTGACCCAACACTTAAGACATGCCCATACTAAGAAGTCATTTATCTGAATTCCTTTTTCATATTTTATAGTAGTTCTTTGAGAATTTTCCACAATGGACATTGATCATATTCAACCCCAACTCCACTCTGATCCATCCCAGATCCCTACCCACCCAGCTTTGTGATCTATCTATCTATCTATCTATCTATCTATCTATCTATCTATCTATCTAAATATGTCATATATATAAATATAATACATATATATTAACTATACCCGTAAAGTCCAATTTGTGCTGTTCTTAGGCTCTTAGATTTGGGGCCCCCCACTGGTGCGTGGTTGATTTCTCAGGGACCCCACTCTTAAAGAAATTTCTTACAGCCATTTGTCATTTGAATTCCAGCTCCTGCTGGGCCCCATGGCTCCTCCTTGCATGGTGGGGCAGCCCCTTGCTTTGATGTTCCATCCCTCTTCGAGAGCTTCTGTGTTCAGTGGGTAGGGACAGGCTGCTCTCAGCATCATTCTGAGTCACACATGATTAGGAAGATACATCTGCCAGGGGACAGAGAGGGAGATAGGCAACTCTTATTAGCATCTAAAACCAATTATGAAGGCTTTTTGCCGTATCTGCGGCGAGGGGTTGTCTGAACAGCCTCCAACACAACTGGGAGTTAGCTGTGCTTGGATGTAGACCAGTGGGGAGAAACAGAAGGGAACAGGAGGTTATCAGTCCCTGACTAAGGAATGAAGCATTATGTCCCCTTTACAGTGGGCTGCTTTTCTTCCTCTGGAGTGGCAGTTCTCAACCTGTGGGTGGCGACCCCTTCACAGAGGCTGCGTATCAAATATTCTGCATTTCAGATATTTACATTATGACTCATAACAGTCACAAAATTACAGTTATGAAGTAGCAACAAAAATAATTTTATGGGTGGGGGTCAGTGCAACTTGAGGAACTTTATTAAAGGGTCGCAGCATCAGGAAGGAAGCGGTGCAAACTTCCTACGCGTGGCTGGAGAGAAGATAGGTTAAGCTTTGAAGAGCATGTGTTTGCTGTGGTAAATACTCACTGCTCCTATTGCTTGGAAAAGTAGCTGTAGGCAGACATAGGAGCCAG